CTTTGGACAATGTTGAGCAGTGTGCTTAGGTTCTCCACAATATAAGCACAATCCTTCTTGTCGACGACGAGACTTTTCTTGCTCAGTAAGAGGTTTGAAACGTACCGCATCAATTTGCATATCCTCTACTTCTGAAGGTATGTGTTGAGGAGACGTCGGTGTTGCCATTGAATTGTAGTAACGTTGAGGCTTACTTGTGCGACTCTCGGATCGAAATTCAAAAAGTCGATTGTCGCACTTCACAGCAAAGTCAATTGCTTGACTCAATGTTTGAGGATCAGGTAAATTAAGCATCAATTTCTTTACCTCATATTGTAATCCGTAGAGAAATTGACTCACAAGTGCGGCATCATCCCACTTGATATCAGTTGCAAGTTGTCGAAATTGCGAAGCATATAATGTTACTGATCGATTGCCTTGTCGCAAAATACAGATCTTGTTGGTTGCAACACGAATTGCATCATGTTCTCCAAACATGGATCGAAACTCCGCCAAAAAAGCCTCCAGATTATCCAATATTGGATCTCGTCGTTCAAGAAAAGATGAAAACCATGACAATGCTGAACCTGAAAGAAGTGTACCAATGAATCTAACTTGTGACCCTGGAGTTGGATAGCTCTGGGGTTGAAGTTCAATCACTAATTGGACCTGATTGATGAATCCTCGAAACTTGGATCTGGTACCATCAAACTTCTCGGGCAAGGCTACTCTCGGTTCTCTAACACTCGAAGGGTGTTCCATTCTGGGAGAAGGGACATGGTTTGGTGCAGATGTTGAAGCAGCCCCAATCATCTCTATATCTTCACTTCCTACCATTCTTGTTGCTCCTTGTGGTGGTAAATTGAGTTGATGCATCGCAAGCATTAACTCCCTCAATTGTTCTTGCATCTGTGCCATTGCACTCTTCATTTCAACAAGCTCTGCCATAGTAGCACTTAGAAAAGAGAAGATGTCTAATAACGCTCAAAACAAATAGAAGAGAGGAATTGATAACAAAGAAAATACTAAGAACAATATCAGTTTAAAAGAGGGTAATCCGCAACTTCTAATGCGCTTATGTCTTATCAAGAAAAAGGGGTAATCCACTCTTAATCAAGAAAAGACAAAGCTCTCATATTGTAAGTGTACTCTTGTCAATCTGTCAAGGACAAGAACTCGATGAAAGCTAAAGAGTAAGTGAGAATTTTTTCAAAGAAATAGGACAAAATAGAAATATGTATATTAAGAAAGAAATTAGAATGGCTATTGCCAAAATACAAGAAAACTAGAGACCCTTGAAACTAGACTAGAAGCAAGAAAGGAGTTGACAAGAGTGAAGAGGGCTTCACTCTTGCCTCTATATATACTATCTAACTAGAAGCCACGTGGCGATGTTCTATAAGACCTCCAATATATGTTGACTTTCTAGGCCACATGCCTTTGCTTACAAGGCAAGTTTTCTATGGATGGACCACGTAGTTAGCTTGTTCTTTAAGCTTCCAACATGTGTGGCACATGGCTAACTTGTTGACCAAGTTTTTAGCCTAAAAGTCAACTATAGACTCCTATAAAGTCAAAGCAGCATCTATGAAGCTTCTAAGAAGCTTCTCTAGAAGATATTACACAATTAACCTACTTTTATCTACTTTTACATACTTTTATCTATTCATATAGGTAATTATATGTATGTCCGTGACACAATTCCATGTTGAAGATAAGATATGGTTACTTTGTCATAATATTAAAACTATTTATCTTTGTGACAAGCTAGATTATCATAGGCTTAGACTATTTCTCATTTGTGAACAGATCAATCTAATTGCTTATCGATTACACCTACCAAAGTCTATGAAAATCCATCATGTGTTCCATGTGTCTTTGCTTGAGTCATATAAGACAATGGATATACAAGGAAGGAATCAAATGCCACCACCTCTTAAAGAAGTAGACAAAAATGAAGAATTTGAGGTAAAAAAAGTCTTAGATTCAAGACAGCGCCAAAATAGGGTGAAATATCTAGTTCATTGGTATAGATATGGCATTAATGAATACATATCGGAGCCATTTAAGAATCTAGCAAATACATCACCCAAAGTTAAAGATTTTCATCAATAACATCTATGAAAATTAAGTTAAAGAGTCAAGATATTCTTTGTTATAAAGCAAAGCAAGCCTAATAGAGATTTTGTTCTATCTTGTATCATTATTTTTTTTGGATTTTTTAATGCTTTAGAGATGGAGAACAAATAACCAGCAGATTCAACTCAAGAGCTATCATTCGCAGAACTACCAGACAAGACATTGCGACTATCATAACCTTTGAGATGGTGAAATCAAGATAAAGATCCTCAAGAATGACATATTCTTCTTCAAGTAGATGGTGACATATAATGCATTTGGTACTACAAATTTGGAAGGGATTCCTAATGTTTAGTGATACTTTTGGAGGTAGGAACCACTCTTGATGGTATTACTAATGTTTTGTTTGAAGGAAGTTATGAAGGCTTGAATAATGATCAAATATCAGGGTGATTTTCTTGCCTAGTATGGGACATTATCAATAGTTGAAGGGACCTTTGAAAGAAACAAAGATCAGACTACATGGCAAATATAGTTCGGCCCATCTTAGACTTTATCAAGATGTAATCACTACTCTTCTTAGAACTTGTTCCTACAAGGGGGGGATAATGTCATGGACATACATATTTATGATGATAATTATCTAGATAATAAGAATAGATTGAAATAAGTCAAAATAGGTTAATATGATAATATCTTGTTGAAAGCTTCTTAAAAGCTTTATAGATGTTGTTTTGCCTTTATACATGTCTATAGGTAATTGGTAGGTTGAAAGCTTGGCCAACAAGGAAGCCGCATGTCAACATGTTGACCACTTATAGTACAAGTTGGACATATGGCCTACACCTAAGAAACTTGTCTTACAAATTAGACACATGTCCTACAAGTTGGACATGTATTAAAGGTCTTAGAGCATATTGCCACATAGTTCTTAGTTAAGTAGTATACATAGACGCAAGAGTGATGCCTTCTTCACTCTTGTCAACTCTTTTCTTGCTTTTAGTTTAGTTTGAAGAGTCTTATGTTTTCTAGTCTTTGGCAATAGCCATTCTAGTTCTTCCTTGAATTTACATACTTTCTTCTATTTTGTCACTTTCCTTTTGACACAGATTCCACAAGTTTATATATCTTCTTCCAGTTCTGTCCTTGATAGTAGTCTAAATATTAAATATATGAATCATAATAAAACTTTAAAGAAGCATTGTACTTTAGTGACACTTAAGATATTCTCAACTTAACTTATTTTTATTTCTTTTGCTAAACTCTTCTAATCTAGGTAATTATTAATATAAACATGTATGTTTGAAATACCAATTTATTATTTCACCTTATAATTTATATTATCTTATTATTTATATGAAATATTTTGAATCTACAATTATGTAATTAAAGATTTTAGAATAAACTTTTGATAAAAAAAATTATATATTTTAATATTTTTTAAAAAAAAATTAAAAATAATATATATTTTTATTTTAATATTTATAATATGTTGTTCTATTCTTTTAATTCTATTGTATTCAAGTTGCTTTTTAATTTTTTGTAGAAAAAAAATTACTCTTTAATCTTAATTAAGTAATACTAATTAAAATTATTTTTTAATTAAATATGTTTTAAATTTTTAATAATCAATTAAATTTTGACTTAATTATTAATTACTAAATCTAATTTTAAATTTTTCAATTAAAAGGATGTATTTTTTTAATAATGATGTTACTAAAATCCAAATTATAATTACAAATATAAAAAAATTTAAATATTGAAGTTAATTTTGAAGAACTATAACATTTTTTTTTACAAAGACACTAACTTTTTATAGTTTTAACTGATGCATAACTTCATTTTATGTGAACTAAAAGGAATTTTTTTAATCACAATTTCTTAAGTGACTACAAACCATATAAGACAAGTCCATGAAGTTGGCCTAATTATTGTTTTTGTGAAGTAGATTTGTTTTTGCAAATCAAACCTCACACTTGTATTCAAAGTATGTTTATAGTCTATTTTGCAAAACCTTTGCAAAATACACTAAAGTTTTTGCAACATTTTCAAAATCAGCTCTAATGTTTTGTAATATGATTCCAAAGTTGAGAATGTTTTTACTTAAGAGCCTAATATAAAAGACTAATATAAGTATCATACATTAAATTATATAAATATAGCTTTAAAAGCTTTTGAAGTTATTCTTTATTACCTATGGCTACTTTATCTCATGTTAGTAATTTTTAATATATAAAAGAAGCTCATTGTAGTATTTCAAGCTTTATTAACTGCATCATACTTTCAATAAAAAAACTACTTATTTTTAATTCCTCTTTACTATAATTTCTGTTTTTCCTCCTGATTATTGCAATTCAAACCAACTAAGATTCTAAACTTGATTATCAAGGCAACGTAGATTCTAAAGTATACAAGATAATTGTAAGAAACGTACAACATACGAGAAAAGAACTCAGTATCCGTTTTAATTCTATCCTATATATTTATTTTCTTTCTTTTAAACTAACTGCAATTTCAACCTGCAATTTTAACCTGCAGTTTAAAAATATTAATTTGGAGGCAATCTGTACACATTTATACGGAATGGTACTTGTTTATTTTTAGTAGGAGGATGTGTAGATATTAGCCCTTAATCTCTATCTTTCTAAGGAGAGATTGAGTTTTATCCGTCTTTTTTACCAGTTTGGGAGATGTTTCAATTAGAATTATGGACAGGCAGTATAAGAAGAATAGTAACAATTGATTTGCAAGATCGCTATTGTCTACAGCCAAACAAGGTCAGTGTGTTGAAATAGACGTTCTGTTTTCAATATTTAGGTGTGAATGCTTTCTTTTTTAAGTTTAGAAAAAAGATAGTAGATGTTAGTAGAACCAAATCGCAATAAACCAACAGAAATACAAACAATACGTGCAAATACATGAGAAGACGTGAAACATAATGGTCGATACAGAAACTGAATTGGTATTGTGTCAATTCTTTGTTGAAGTTAGATCCTCCGTTTTCGCAGTTGTTTTACGTGGCAGGTTCAGCTATGGGGTTATGAAAAGTCGAAAACCAAAAGCAAATCATGCTCAAAAATAGTACACGGCATATGGACTGGCCAGGGCCAACGTCCCGTCCCTGAGTGATCTCTGAATTCAAGGTCGGTTCAATTAGATACTATTCCCCGCGACCGACCATGGAAGGCATACCAGAGGAATCGCACGGCTGCTTGTCACTCAGGTACTGGGCACTAACCAAGGTCAAGTAAATTACCTAGGGTAGCTCTATACGGGCTGATCTGTATCTCGAACGTTATGAGTCGGATTTCGAAGCAACACAAGATCCAGCTGTAATCGACACTATCTTAAGTCTCTCTATCATCAGCACGACACATTCATATTGCGCAACTGCCAAGAGTACACAACAAACCCGCACCCTTACGAGAAACAGAAATGGCATGGAAGTTAGACTTGACAAGGATTCAAAAAAGATGTGGTGTTCAACAACACCAGTTTGTATGAAAGAACCAACTCGCACACAGGATCTAGCCTCCAAACCCGTACAGAGTCCTGCCCTGTCGCTTCAATGCATAGACCACATCCATGGCCGTCACAGTCTTGCGCCTCGCGTGCTCGGTGTACGTCACAGCATCCCTGATCACGTTCTCCAAAAATATTTTGAGCACACCACGAGTCTCTTCGTAAATAAGCCCACTGATACGCTTCACACCTCCTCTTCGCGCCAGGCGCCGGATGGCGGGTTTAGTGATACCCTGAATGTTGTCTCGCAACACCTTCCTATGACGCTTGGCGCCACCCTTCCCCAAGCCCTTACCTCCTTTACCGCGTCCAGACATGGCTAAAGGCACCGTCCAACTCCAAACAGATAGACAATCAAACCAACACACAACGACCTGGACACTACCGGATACACAAATTCCACACAAGCAAGTTGAGAATACAGAACCAATGGGGATGCCAACTCTAAGTATGGGGGAAACTCGGGAAGATGTGGACAGGAAAGGCGCCAAGATGAGGCGGGAACTCGGTACCGTTTCAAATTTAAATTTGAGTGGGAAATTGACAGGTCACTATGGCGCGAAAGTAGATCAATGCTCATGTCAAGAAAATGTTGTTGATTGGGGTTGTGGTCTAGTAGATCTTCAGATTCCACAAATTTTTGTTGATTTCACTTGTTGTGAGTAGGCTCATTGTCAGGTTGGTTCCTTTATTTTGTAATATATATATTTTAGATTATACCATTGTTCTGATTAATTGAAATTGTGTATACTAAGATCATTGGTATTTAAATTAACCAAAAATAAATATAATTTTTTATTTATAATTTCATATATTTTAATTAATCAGGGATATGGTATGATCTAATTATACATATTCTAGATTTTTATTTTGTACTATTTTGTGTTTTATGTTTATAATAATTCCACATAATCATAAAAAGTAGATTTCAATACAAAAAATATAAATACGTTTAATTTTCCTTTATGTGGCAATAGAAAGTACAGGAAACAAACTGCAGTCAAAACTCGATGTCCTTGATATAAAATATGTGGACGAATATTACAAAACGGTGCATGCTAAATTTTACATTTTTGGGTAACTCTTTGGTTTATGATGAATCTCAAGCTAAAAAAATAAAATAAATTAAAAATAATTTGCAAGGTCTAGCATGATGGTTTTGTCGTTATTAAAAAAAATTAAGTAAATTTTATTCTTGAGATTTATTGCAACATTTGATAATAAACACATGTTAGCCCTGGTCGCAGTCAAGCATAAAAGTAACTTCATTACAGAGAATACAGAATATATACACACACACACATTTATATATTTCAAAGGGCGCAATAAATATGCACCAAATACTCCACAAATTCATCATGACTTTATTTTTGAAGATTTGAAACTGGATTACTTATGAATTAGGAATAACTGTAATTATAAAATAAATTGTTTTTAGAACTGGTTTTATTAAATAAGCAATTAATATATAAAACTCACAGAAAACATAAGGACTTTTTAGGAGGCTTTCATACAAATTTTATATATATATGTATATATATATATATATATATATATACATACACACACACACACATATATATATATATATATATATATAATGAAGATATTTTGTATTGCACCATATTGTAAACATTGTACTAATACATGTAAAAACTCTCATAGTGATAAAAATAAAAAAACATGGTTTATTATGATAATTTTCTTGTTTCAATGGTTGTTTTGAATTTCATTTTGTACCAAAAGATAATTGCAAGAACTTTGATTTTGAGGAAACAGAAGGTTAAAAAAATTACATTGCTTAGCTTTTAAATGTATCAACTTTCTGGAATCATTTGAACAATTATGACCAACTTATGGTATTTTATATTGTATAGAAATTGGAGAGATTTTTTTTGCAGAATCAGACTTTATTACTCGTCAAAGCTCCTGGGGGAAAAAGTTATATTTTTTGAAGTTTCAAATAATACTTTCAACCTAAAACAGTTTTGTTTTGTATTCTCCTTTTCTTTTTATTTTTCTCTAAAAAATGACAGAAAAAAATGAATTTTTTTTTATATATATATATATATATATATATATATGTTTTGGGAAGAAATAAAAATAAAAATAAAAAAACTGAAACAAACAAAAGTTTACTTGAATAACCACCCACACATGAAAACCTGCCTTGAGTTGCGCAAAGCTGATATCCGCGGAAAGCGGATCACACGGGCTGGGTAGATACCCCGGTACAAGATGACGCCCGTCAAAGACTTGCTTCCTAGGTTTCGAGCATAGCTATGAAGGCGCGGGGTTCGGCCGATTTTGACCAGAACTGTTCCCAACGCTGAAACCGCCGCTGCGGCATGGCTCAAGTGAAACTCAGGATTGCCGTGCAGGGGATTGCGTAGACGTTAGTCAGAGATGGCTACAGCTCCACAGAGTAGTCAAAAGCGGAGCCCAGAAGTAGACCTCGCCAGTCATGACGAGTCAGAGGTTGTGTATAAGAGCAGCAGGACGTTGGTGACTGCCGAGCAATCTTCATCGAGCAGTTGGAGGATGAAGGGAGCTTAAACGACACAGACGCAGGACATCTGCCGGATTTTCCTAGTTGCTCGCAGTGCTTATGATCTGATGTTCTTTCAGGTTTTTTACTGTCTCTTCTTAGTCTGAGCGAAAGAGACAAATTGCGTTGCGGGCCGGCAACGACCAGCGGAAGCCAACATGTGAAGTAGCCAATCGGAAGCGAGGACTGAAGCAGAGCTATTCGAGGGAGGGACTTCGTTCTTTTGTCTTCGAAATGACGTTGGGCCGTGGATTTCTCGATCGGCACTGTTTCAGTCCTGTGCAATTGACACAACCATCGAAGAGTTCCTCCAAGAATCTTATGGTGAAGGCTTCGTCTGGATCTGTCTACTTGGATGCACCAACAGCAGCGGACTATGGAAGGATCCTTGGGATTGGGCCAAACGCAACTAAATCAGAGGTGAAGGCCGCTTACCGCAAGCTCGCTTTACATTGCCATCCCGACGTTTCTAAATCTGGTGAAAGTTGCGAAGCGAAGTTCATAGAAGTGCACAGAGCATACGAATCGCTCATAGCTGTGGCTCCTTCAGGTAACCAGAGCCAACGGAATTACACTTATTCAACGTGCAGCAGCAAAATCTCAGTGTACAATACGTGTGAGGCTGAGAGTGTACTTGGTGGTGCAGTGAAAGGAGATGATCCTCGGGTGGCTTGCTTGCAGAGTCTTATTGACGGTACTCACGTGGAAATTCCGGAAGATTACTCAAGGTACTACAGTAACTTGAGGCAGTACTTTAAAGCGAGCCGCAAAACAGGATACAACTATTTTCAAGGGAACTGGTAGCTTACATATGCTTCAATGTTATGGCGGTTGGCACTACCATAGAAATCTGGAGCATTCTTAGGGACAAGTAGCGGTTTGATGACAATACTTTGGATTAGATCTGAATGAAAGTCAGCAATCAACTTGTAAGATGAAGTCATTCATTCAACTTTCTTCATCCAAATAATCAAGATCAACCACCAAATCAATGTAGATAAATCAATATAGTGTTGCAATTAGATTATGCAACATTCACTATTAGCATAAAGATGCATGATATTGCTTGTAGCATCTTGAATACAAATTGAGGATAGTGGCTTGAAGTGTTTTTGCACAAATTTATCTTGAATATGGATTGTGTAAAGTGGTTTGAAGTGTATTGGCATAAATTTTTATTGGTTGTGTATGTGATGTTGTTTTACATTTACATATGATGAGTTAATAAATACAATAGGTTATAGGCCTATCCCCCATGTGAATGGATCATATATTATTTTTATTGTTTATTTATTTTTTGATATTATTTTTGCTTTATTTATTGAATATCTTATTTACCAATACTAATTGAAAGTTATTTTTTCTTACATTTTGTATTGTTTACAAATACAATGGAGAAGAGTGAGAAATTTGGAATTAAAGCTTTGATGGAAAATATTTTTTAATATAAAAATATCATGTAGAAATAATTTTCTAGTTAAAATAGGTTTTTAATGTGGTCATTGGAATTGTGAAAAAACTAGTGTCCATGCTTAGAATATGTAGAAACATCAAATTTTAAGAATGTATAGATGCATGGGACTAGAAAAATACCAATGTTAGGATGCTTATTAATTTAGATATATCTTCAAGAATTATATCAAAACTAATAAGCTGTACCAAAGCCAAAAATATGTGGACTAAACTTTGTTCCATTTATCTCTAGTGCATCAAAGAAAATGTATTTCAATTACAAAAAATATTTATGACTATAAAATATCTCACTCTAATGATATAAGCTCATATAATTATAATATTGAGACAATGACTTTATTGCTCAAAGACCTTGGCAATGAAATCAGTGAATATATAATTTATTCAAAAATCATGTCTAGTTTATAATTGAGCTTCAATAAGATCCTTGCAGCACAGACAAATGTTCATAAAGAGAAGCACACAATCTTTGCTCTTTAAGAGAGTCTTCAATGGCATGAGACATTATTACAAATCTATAGTAACTTGGAGGAACTTAATGCTCTTGCATATTTTACTCAAGCACAAGGTCAAAGCAATGGTACAATAAATTTTTGTGAGTAGCATCAAAAAGATGTGAATTCTATTTGTGATCTAAGAAGTAGAACTTAATATTTTAATTGTAGGGTAAGCAATCATTGATTTACAGATTGTACTTGCTTAAAACAACTTAATATTGTATCTTCTAATTTACAAAACATGGTAAATAAAAAGTCTTCAATATGACTTGAGTTTAGATGATGGTGATAATTTGTCGTCAAAGGATTTACAAATTTTTTTGAATATCATGAATGATTTTACATTCATGACTTCTTATACTTATTTGATTCTTTTTAGTAATAAATATTGGTATACTGACTTTGCTGCTAAGGAATCTAAAATGGACCATTGCAAGTGGTTTCAATCTTTTATTTTGATTCTTAAATGAAAATGCTAATCACTGTTGCCAACAATAAAACATTCCAGGCATATGATTGGAGAATGTTTGTATACAATGACTAATAAATGATAAGTTATTTTCTAGAAGTCTTAAAAATATAATTTATGTTTTATTTTTAGTCTACAATTAATTAATTAATTAATTAATTTTTTAATATTATATCTAATCATAGTATCTTTTTTGTCACAAACTTGACAGCATATAAATACTTATCTAAATTGGACAATTTTTTTTTTAAAAAAACTAAAATTTATTATATCAGTTATCATTACAAGTTATACCACCATTAACTATAGTATTAATAACATCCATAGCCAATGCAACTTCAATCTCAACCATTTTTGTTGAAAATTTAATATTTTTGTTAAAAAATAAAAAAACATAAACTTATGAAATAAAAAGATGGCACACGTCAACATTCCAAATATTAAATGCATGTTTTATTACAACTTTCTATTGGATTTTACCATCAAATATATTATTTCAAATACTACTTTATGACACAATTATATGCTTGGCAATCATGCTAAATTCAACTACTTAACAAATCCAAACAAATAATGGTGTATCTATCTATGGAAGTTTCTTCAAGATGATACTTTAGAAAAGTTCAATGAGAAATTTATTGTTGGTGCTTAGTATTTTATGTTCTTAGAAGGAAATGCCATAACATATTAATTTGTTCATTTTACAAAATCAGATTTAAAAGTCTTTTGGCAACTAATACATGGCAAAAGTAATTAAACATGACACAAGTAACAATTTTAAGAAATTTAGTATAAATCACGGTATTGAGTACTTAAATCCGACCTTTTAAGAATAATTTGGTTTAAAAAAAATCCTTGATTGTCTATTATAGGATTTTCAATTATATATATATATATATATATATATATATATCAATAAATTAAAATGTGTAAAATTAATTGGAAAGAGTAAATCTATAATTTTTGTAAATAGTTCTCTTTTAAACAATTCTCTTTTAAACAAATATTAATTCAAATACTAATTTAAAACCTATATTTAGTCTATTTTGACAAGAAAATTTACTACAACATATTTGTAAGAATCTAATTCAAGACAATTATATTCTACGACAAAGATATTATTATAAAATACTCCTAGAAATCATAAATTCTTTACCTCTAATAATTTATTCAATTTATTGATAATTCAATAGTTTATCTTGTAACAATGAATGAGTGTTTTCTTAAATTACAAACTTATTGTGATGCCATAGCCTTTGGACATTCTTACAATTGAGTAGAAGCACTATAAGCTAAATATAATGCACTCTATATAAATGACATGTGAAATTTCTAGCCTATATTTGATTATTGAAAACCAATTTGGTGTAAGTCAGTATACAAGCTCAAATACAAATCTAATGGAAAAATTGATTAATATAAGGATTACGTCATTACAAAGATATTTACTAAAAAATATGACAAAAATTATTTTAAAACTCTTAATTCTATTTTTGAACTTCATTTGGTATACATTTTATTTGCAATCGGAACAATATAAAATATGGAATTTCTATAGTTCAACATTGGTATATTATTTCTTAATAGAAACTTCATCAAAGATATTTACATGATCTAATTCAAGGATATTTAGTAATGTGACTTTAGCAAATGATTTTATAAATGACTTTAACAAATAATTTTTATCAATAAATATATATATATATATATATATATATATATAGATGAAAACTTTAATTTTTCTTTTGATCTAAAATATATTATTATTTGTTTTATTATATCTTATTGTAATATTTTAAATTAATATTAGAATAATTTATTCTTTTGTTGGCTTTTAAATTAAAAGAAATTATGCCAAAAAAATTCTATTTATTTTTTAGAAACTATATATTATTATTATTTTTTAGTGCTTTAAAATTTCTAATTATAAATTTGTAGTTATATTAACAAAGCTAGATTTTAAACTCTCTATCAATTTTGATGGAATTATTTTAACAAATGAATCCTACTTATGATGCATTGGTTGCTTAATATATGCGATGATAGTCTTTTGTTATAATATGTCATTTTCTCTTATTAAGGTTACTTGATATCAATAGCAACAAGAGAAAAAGTCACTTGAATACTTTCAAATTTTTTTTTTGATATTTAAAAGAAAAAAATTTAATTCAATATTTAATACTTTATTACATCCAATTTTTTGCTATGTGGTTTTTTTCATGTATACTTTGCCAATGACATGGACAATTTTAAAAAGTGCACATAATATGTTTATACTGTTACGGTGTCGTGTTGTAACACGAGTATACAGCGAAAATAAAAAAATAAAAAAGAAGAAGGGGAATTTTATTAATATTCAGTTACCTCGAATATTGGGAGCATCGACCAACTCCAGCGCAAATACTGAGTGGTCAGGTTTAGTCACCCCTTACAGTCAGCCGGGGCATACTGAAATGCTCCATTCGATTCTAATAACGGGAGTTAGCAGGATGAGAAGGACCAATTCACACGACGGGTTTGAAGAGCCAATTGGATCCAATTTCGAGAATCCAATCCGGGTCCTCTTACCCAATATGAGACCTATATTGGTGGGGCAACCCAATGCAGTCTAGTTACGGGAAAATCCAGGTCTTACTACGGGCCTCAGCCAGTCTGACGCGAAGACCAATTTGACCCAATTACGCGAGCATCCAGGTTACTACGGGCATCTTACCCAATATGGGACCTGAATTGGTCGGGCGACTCAATGTGGTCCCGATTACGGGGTTTCGATTCTGTTTCGGGCTGTCCTGTTCTATGTGCCGTTTTTTTTTTTTTTTTTTTTTTTTTTTTTTTTTTCTTTCGAGGAATCGGGGGGGGGGGAGCTAGTTTTCAAGCTTTTGTAAGGTTACCAATTCGGTTTCATTGGAGGTTTTTGAAGATCAAGGGAATTAGAGAGAGGAGCTTCATGCTTCGGGTCGGGGAAGGAAAGACATAGAATTTGGATTTTTCTTCTTCGTAGAGTTTTGGGAAGACTGAGGCAATCGCTGCTGAAGTCAGTGTTGTAATGGTGAATCGGGATTTTTAAATGAAGTGGGTTTGAATACTCTTGACTGTTTTGTAAAATCGAGTTACGTCTGTGATTGAAGGATTAAAGGGGTGTCTATAGGATTGAGTATGCGGAGTGAATGAAATTTATTGGATTAATCTAACAGGACAGTCAGTGGATACAAGATCGTAAGTACAAAGGGGTATTGAAGATTAACAGTTTGAGTTGTTCGGGGTTCTTTGTAACGTCTAGAGACCTATCGGCTGGGACAAAAAAAAAGACTTCGACAAGCAGTCGAAGAGCATCCGTATAGATTTACGGTACATTGTTGCAGTCGTTTATATTCCAGCAGCCAAAAATTGATAGACTGCGTGACTATCGGCGAATCTCCATACTACCTTCTACAGCCAGACGCCCGGCGCGTTCTCGAGCAGGAAAGCACGTAATACGACATAAGTGGTGAACCCGACGTGAAAGCTTGAGGTGGAAGGTATTGGATTTCGGTTGATTTTATCTTTATTTTTATGGAAAACGAAAATAAATATTTTGAAGGATTTTTGGGAGAAGTTTCTGGTGGGGAGTCTTCTAAAGGACAAGGTATGCACATGGATCCATCTATTGCTAGTTTGTTTCAAGCCTTCTCATTGTCAATGC